AAACAATGATGAAAGTCTTCTTCTATCAGCTCCTTGTGCATGTAGTAATTTTGATTAATAATTGGAGCTTCAGGAACTCAGGCGTTGCAAAATCGAAAATCGAAAAAGAAAACTAGAATCATTGCTTTGAATTTTAATTTGTTCATTTAAACTTTTTTGATTCCAGTGCCAAGATAGGCTCTTCGTTTCGTTGCACCACGATAGATCTATAGTTCTGAAGAACTGAAAAAATAAGACTTTATCGACTGTTTCAGATAATGGAAGATTCGCATGAAATGTTATAGACGAAGAGTCTATATTTAAGGTGATAGTAAATATTAGGGTGTCTCGTAAGTTTTTTCCTTTTTTTTTTCATACGAAATCAATAGACGATATTTGTTGTTTAATGTTTATTTACTGTGTTATATATAAATCGACCTGCTCTATTACCTTCTTCCATCTCTCAGGAAGCTTTATTAAGATATTTTTTCCAAAATTGTTGAGACTTGTAAAATATTCATTGAGGTGCGTTTTTATTTAGCTTTTGGATTTGTGATATTTAACACTAAAAGAGTTTTTTAACGAGAGACAGGAGTGCCCAGAAGGAGGTTTTATACCGCAAGTTATGCCATCAAAAATTTTGAGAGGGGCCTATTGATTTTTCCTATTAAGGGATGAGGGTAAAACAGATAATAGACAGCAACAAGTATTATTGTATATGATCTACGATTTTACTAATGCTGCCTTAGCTTCCACATTATTTAAGAAAAGGTAAGCAATAAAATATCTTGGGAGGACGGGGAGTAGGTTCTGGCGCCACGGACCTTGGAGAGGGGGATGGGCACCCCTGACGAGGGAAACAATAATCGGATTGTTCAAGATCTGTGGAGTATGGAGGATGAGATAAATAAAATTTTTCTATCAAACTGTTAAAGTATGTTTCTAACGGCCAACGCGACATGTAGTGTTGCGTTGTTGTGATGAAAAACGACACATCGTTGAATTCTGACCGTTTTATGCATTTGGCTTCCGATTCATCGAGTTTATTGCAGTGTTTTGCAGAATTGATCGTTTCACTTTGTAGAAGGAGCTCGTAGTACACTTCATCATTCCAGTCTCACCAAGTCCACAAAAGAACTTTTTTCGGATGAGATCTTACAGTTTGATTGGTACGTTCTACCTCATCCTCCGTACTCTCCAGATCTTCTCCCATCCGATTAATACTTTGCAGATCTCTCAAAACATTTTGAAAAGAGTGCATAATGAGGCTCCCTGTAATACGAAAGAAGGTGATAGAACAGAACGGTTAATATATAACAAAGTAAATCAACCTCAATCAACAAATATCGTATACTAATTTAGCATCAAAGAGTATGTAAGGAACTTATGAAACACCCTAATAAACATCTAAGAAATCAAATTAAAGAGTTTTACAGCATTGGTCTCGTTATTTAATAGCCTTTTCTTTTATTGTTATAGATTTCTTGTTTGAAGTGAAATCTAACTAAAAAATTAAAGTGAATAATGGTGGTTAATTTTTTTCTTAGTACATAGCACTTAGCACTTAGCAGTTAGCACTAGATACAAAACTATACAAAGTGACTAAGAACTAACCCCATAATCATCATCATCTTTGTCGAGTCCCTTTTTCCTGACCAGTTGGTAGAGGACGATCCCGAGGAGACCGACAGCGCTGCCCAGGACGAAGCTCTTCTGGATGTTGGCCGGAGCGATGCACGATGCTTCATAGATATCCATGCTATTTCATTTCAATTTTTGATATTAAATCTAAGATTTTATCAAAAGAATTAATTTTGATTTTTTTTTGGATTTTTATTTTATAACATTACTATAAACTTCCAGAAATAGTTTCTCTGAATCGATTATTTGAGAATTAAGAATCCAAAGAAATGCAAACTTCATTTATAATTTTTTGTCAAAAAAGTTGTTATCAAAATTGCAGCAGATTTGGTGATTTATAACATTTTCTTCAAGAAATATAAATTTGTAAACCATTGATTTTCATATAAAACTAAATATTGAAATAATTATTTCCACTTCCATCTGATTATACAATTATTTCATTGTTGAATTCAAATGCTAAAAAAGTTTGTGGAAACATATCAAATTTTAATGAATGAAAATAAAACTTGTTTTCGGAATCGAAAATTTCCACTGACTTATGTTTTGGATATCAGGCAACTAGTGTTGCCCAAATACGATACCGAGACGAGTCTTGGTCTTGCGCAAGAGTCTTGCAGTTACTTATTAGCTTAATACTATAGAGATATCACTGTAATTTTTTGGATAGGAGAAACCTAACTATGCCTGAATGAAAAATTAGAGGAGTTAAATATACTGGTTTTACGATTATTTACACCTAGTAACTAAGATTGTCAAGTATTAGCAACTATTTTGCCTTAATTTTTATTCAAAAAATCGATTTTATTTTTACCAGTCCTGGTCTTGGGTCTTGCAACAGTTAGACGTCCTTGATCTTGGTCTTGCAAAGTGCAAGACCAGGACCGATTTTTGACAACACTACAGATAACAAATCTCTTGTCAAGACAAATACAAGGCTAAATTCATTGTCGAATGACTCTGTCACCTCTGGTTACCAATACCATTTGATATTTTAAGAATTTGTTACCATAATATTTTTTGCTCTTCAATGTGGCAGGTTGTATTATTATACAACACATTTCTTTATGAAAAAAATGTCAAATGCAAGTGATGTTGGTCAGATTTTTATGAAATCATCTGGGATTGTGAACATTGGAACCTACCTAGATGGTTTTCTATCAATTTGAAAAAAGTCATTTGCTACTTTCTCCTAAGCATGCGCGAACGTTACTTACATACTTATAAGGTCCTTACGTTCCAAAAACCTGCTAGTCTGCTTTGTCCCAAGATTAGAAGAAGAAAAGTTTTCAGATATTTCTTTTTTGGCATTACATAGGTTGTATATATCATTTGCCGCCTTAAAAAGTCTACTCTATCATTGAGCTATTTTCTTTCCAGTTATCTGCATTCAGCTTTATTGCGTATTTGTTGATTTGATCTATCCATCCGCTTTTTGGCCTTCTGCGTGGTCTTTTGGCCATTGAGGCATTCACTGTTATGTAGAGAGTTTCAGATGAATTGCTCTGATCTAAATACCCGATCATCATGAAATCCGTGCTTTCATATCATGAGTTATTGATTGAGCAGTTTTTGTAAGCAGCTCTTTATTGTTTTTTCTTCTCCATATATTAGTGCTCTGATATCAGACCACTTCGGTTATCGTGCGGAGGATTTTTTTCACAAATCTTTTAATACTTTTTCTAGAGTGATGGTCAGTATCCAGGTCTCTAAGAGATGTATTAGAACTGGCTTTAAATTTTTTTTCGGGAACTCAATACCTTTGAAAAGGAGAAGAAAACTTTCAGACATATGTATTTTTTATAAGCATATGATCACTAAATCTTATATTATGTAGTTATCCATACTATGTATCAATGTATTGAGTACTTAGAAGTAGGTAACTAGTAAACCAATTATATAAAAGAACTATTGATTGGCCAAAACTCTGCAACATTAATTATGGTATATTTATTTGTATTTAGGAGATCAAATTATTCTTTCAATGAAGAATCTCGAATGATAGATGTACAATTTTAGAGTTTTCAAAAAACAAAACTAAGGAGATAGGCTTTCTATAATAATATGTTCAAAAAGTGCAATAGGCATTCAGATTGCGATGATCTTAAGGGCTTCAAAGGAGAATCTTAAGGCTTTGTAGTGTTGCTAGGCAAGTTCCATCAAGATCGTTCTTGTCCATTTCTCGCTATAATTTAAGGAAAATGAAAAAGAAAAGATATACTTTTTCAAGGTAGAAACTTTTGTGACTGTTTTTTTTTCTTTTTATTTTTGACGCTACGGTCCTGAAAGAACCTGGGCCTCTCTTTTGATCCTTCGCCACTCTTCTCTATCCCGAACGAGCATTCTCCATCTTTGAATTTCCTATCCTTTTCAGGCTGTACTCTACCTGGTCCAGCCATTTCAGACGCGGTCTTCCTCTTCCACGTTTTGCAGCAGGTTGATCCTCTAGCAAGCGTTTGGGAATTGTGTCTCGGGGCAAACGCGCCACATGGCCCAACCATCTGATCTGGTTTCCCCTTACAATTGAGACCAAATCCGGCCTCTCATACATTTCGTATAGTTTATTTATTTATACTTTATTAGTGCGAATTCTCCATTGTCCCTGTTCGCACACCGGGCCATAGATTCTGCGGAGAACCCTTCTCTCCCATGCGAGCAGCATTTTTTCCGATGCTTTGGAGATCACCCAAGTCTCAGAGCCAAAGGGTCTTATGACTTTCTCATACATCGTCATCTTTGTTCTGTGACAAAGAGATCTGTAATTTAATATTTTTCGCAATGCAAGACAGCACCTATTCCCGGCAGTCATCCTTGCTTTTAATTCTTCCATCATTTAATTGTTTTCAGTGATTAGTGTTCTCAAATATTTAAAATTTTCGTCCACTTTTAGGGTGTGGTTACCAATACAGTCTTCTGTTTATTTATTTCTAGCCCTAGTTCTTTAGTTGCAATTTCGAATTCTTGTAATGTCCCTGCTAATGATGTTTATTTTTTTTGACGTTATTACAACATCATCAGAATAAGCCAGATGCTGTGTCATTCTACTATAAATCGTGCCACCAGAATATGTCCGGATCGCCCTTATTGCATACTCCAAAGCAATATTAAATAGGGTAGGGGATAAAGGATCTCCTTTCCTAAGCCCATCTTTCTCCTCGAAATCCTCCGACAATTGGCCATTAATTTTCACAACTGATCTACTACCACTTCGGGTCATTCTGTTGACTGTTCTTCCTTTATTTACTTTGGTATTCTGTAATCCTCAAAAAGATTTTTTTTTCATCATACCTACTGATCCTTCTGTTTTAAATATATTCTTAACTACTTAATGGCTTTTACTGTGACTGAATGATATTCCTTCTAATCTAATGAATTTTTAGGATTTTCATGAAAATGATTGAAACGAGACAGCGATGGTCAACACCCTGCGTGCAGACCTCTTCGCTCACCCGCCAGGAACAGCAGAGGATGCAGAAGCACATCCGGGTGATGCGGATATCCTTGATGAACATGGCGGTCGTCCTGCTGATGTGGCTGCCCATCACGGTGGTCCTCTGCCTGATTTACATTGATGGGGACAGGCCCCTCGAAGACACGGGTTTCTTCCTTCGGTCTCACCACTTCTTGGCCGCCCTAACCATAGCTCTTCTCAATACTGCCATTAACCCAATCCTCACTGGTGCCATCAAGTTCGCCTGCTGCAGGTCGGACACACAGGGGCCACCATCCCTATCCAGGCTTATTAGAATAGGATCATCAGTCAATTGATTATTATCTTGCATAAATATGTAATTAGCTATTAGTTGTATTGAGGAAAAGACTGATAAATAAACAGGAAATATTTTTTAAAATAACTGTAACTATTTTTTTTTTTTATTCGTTGATGTTTACAACTGTATTGTAAAAAAATACAACTAGTAAATGTGCACACAGTAATAATACAATCACATAAAAACGCTTGTTGAGAAACTACCCATTGGTAGCAATCTAATAATATATTTACATAAGTAGATAACGAGGCCATCTTCTTTTCAGACGCCTCGGAGGGTTATCAGGGATCGAGGAGGAAGCAAGGTTTGAAACGAGAGGGTTCGGATGGTTCTGGAGTTTGTTATGGAAGGATAGGTATCTGGATTGGACCAAATCGGAAACATTAAGGCCTTTATGGATGATTTTATCTGTGACAAAGTAATGAGCGTTGAGGATTTTACGAAGGATTTTGGATTGTAAGGATTGGATACGAGAGGAATTAAATGGTTTAGTGAAGCCCCAAAGCTCAATTCCGTAAGTCCAAATAGGCCTTATTATTGTCATATATATGAGTCGTTTGTAATTGATTGAAAGCTTAGAGCGTTTGTCTAGTAAGTGTTGGAGTAGTCCTAAACGTCGATCAGTTTCTTGTCGTTTCAGACTTTTATGAGGATTCCATCTGTAACTATTAAAATGTAAATATGAACTATTACAAAATCATGTTTTCCTTAATTTATTTAGTTTTTAGCAGAAAAAGGATTTTCATGTAAAATAAACAACTAAGTATGTACATATTATGTAAGCAATTGAATGTTCCCAAATATTAAAATGGAAATTAAATAAAAAAGTTTGTATACTATTATAGTTCCTTCAAAACAATATTAAATGGGCATCACTTATTGGCCAAAACAGTATATTTAAAATACAGAATATTTTTAAAGTAGTAATAGAAATTGAAATATGAGTATCAAGGATAATTTAACCATTGTACTTTTCTAAACTTCTTTGAAATATTTATCATTCAATTTTAAGAAAGCTATATGAATAGTAAAAAAAATAAATTAAAGACCACACGATAGAAGTGAAAACATCAACAAGAAGAGATTAATAATATAAAACATAAATTATAAATGCTAGTTCATAATAAAGAGGATGAAATGCTGAACATTTTTCTCGTTTACGGTATACAGGTCCGATTTTTAGTTTGTGAGATATTTTAATCCATATATTCCATAAAACTCGTATCATTTGGTTTTCGACAGTATTTTTTTCCTTTTCGCCTCCCTAATAAGGCGTGGTGGTAAGATACAATTTTGAGTGACAGCCTATTACAGAGACGATGAAATGATGAACAATTTCCTCGCTTACAGTATGCAGGCCCGATTTTTAGTTTCTGATGTATGTTAATCTATATGTAAAAATATTTCAATCAGTCGACTTTACCCAAGCGTTAGCACTTCGGAAATCTGACGGTTCAATCTAATTCACTCCCCGCAAAAAATTGCATAACACCACTAGCGGCTCCAGGATTTCATTTTGGGGGGGGGGGCTTCAGCCCGAAAAATTTTTGTTTTCAAATGCATACAACGATAATTAATTTGATAAAAAAGAAAGAAATTAACTACCTATATGAAATTGTGTTTAAGTGGTTCTCGAAGTCCTATTAAATATAATTACACGAACAATAATACTTTAAGAGATAGTTTTTAATATTTTTTTCTGTAAAACATGGTTATATTTTACCATTTTGGGGGGGCTTCAGCCCGAAAGCCTCTCCCCCCCCCCTCCGTAGATCCGCCTGTGCATAACGCGCATAAAGAAGTTTTCACTTCAAAAATCTGATGCAGTGCACGCATCACACAACTTTCACTTACAAGACTTAGAGTAGATATGAGGCGGTGCGGATACGAAGGGTGGACTCGATACTTGATAAAAAAAAATTTTTAGTCATACTGTCGTGACACTTAACAGAAACTGAAGGATAAAATGTTTCGTAATTTAATCATCATCTCATTTAATGAGTGACGGTTAATTGATGTGCCCCATGTGTAGAAACTTTAACTGGGATTTTCTCCCAGTAATGAAAATTTTCTTCATCACAATACTTACCCTTGCTGTATATTACATTTATAGATAAGTGAAAGTAAAAAGATAAAGATATTTCTATACTATTTTTTATACCAGTAGTATATAACCTAACAGTGAGTTAGGCACTGGGCTGCTATTCTCTAGGTCTCAGGTTCAAATTCGGCTGATAATAAGTAATTTTTCATCGGCTATGGATCGACCCTGGGGTCGGGGTAATAATAAAGTAATTACTTAAGAGAAAAAATCAGGAGTTTGAGAGTGATCCTGGCCTAATCATCTCCTCCTATAACCGTTGGCTTTGAAACAGTACTTCCTAACACCTATGTACCTATGTATGGGTTCCTAAGTACCTAACCCAAGACCCTTTATATGTTGTAGTGGTACAGTTTTATTTATTTATTTTATTTTTTATTTATTTATTTTATTTTTTATTTTATTTTATTTTTTATACTAGTAGTAATAATAGACTTAAACTTTTCTTAAGACAATTAAGAACAAATAAAACTCTACTTTTGTTTTTTTTGTCACAGCTATCACAAATCAAGATATAACTGTCTTAATCTTAGGGCCAAAGAAGTAGATTTTTTTTTTAAACTTTCAAAGATTAACAGTTTGCTTGATCATGTCTCCAAATCCTCAGGGCATCTTCTTTACTTGTTAAAATACTTTACTTTGATTTTTTTTAAATATTTTCAATATAAATTTGCTTTGTTGAGTAAACATGGACAAAATACATAATATTTCTTCCAAATATCTAAAATAAAAACTTATTAGTTTACTTTAGAATTAAGAAAAACATAAAATAAAATATTGAATACATAAATCTGGTCCTTAGTAATTAATTATTTGATTATATCTTGAACTTTTTATTTTATATTTAAAAAAAATATATAAATGTGTAATTTATTTATATAAAAATTAATAAACATGTAACTTAATTAATTTTCTAGTATAATTACGAAAGATGGACCAGTAAAGACTCCCAAGAACATGTTGCTACATTTAATTCAGTTAGTTCTAAAGGTCAAGAGGTCACTAATCATCAAGTGTCATTAGAGATGTAGTTATGTGGTGTAGTTATCTAGTGAGGTAATTTCAATTAATTCTAGGTCAATCACCTTTTCTTTGAACTAAATTAAACACTCACAAATTCTATGTCAAGGACATTCTTGGATTTAATCCAGGACTTATTCTTACTATTATCCAGGTTAATTTTTCAAATGCTGTGATCAAGCCATTCTTTTGAAGATTATTTCCTCCATCAGGTGGCAAAAATAAGTACATCCCCCAAAAAGTTTGGGAAAACAGTAATGAAGAAAAGAAAACTTTATTTGCATATAACTCATAGGTATGCAATTTATGTTTTATAACCATTAAAGTTAGAAAGTTTTTCTAATTCTTTACAAAATGAAAAACAAATTATCAAAATCTGACCGTTTCTTGCAAAGATACAGCCAATTATAATTTGTATGTATAAATGTGTGAATGTAATTTTTTTTTTTTTATTATTGAAATTTACAACTGTATAATGATAAATATAACTAGTAAATATGAAACAAGTAACTTAACATGAAGATAAACTACCACTATAAATAACATTGGTAGCACTCCATTTATATTTCTATATTAGAAGGTCCCCAGGCCATCTTCTTTTCAGACGCCTCGGAGGGTTATCAGGAATAGAAGAGGAAGCAAGGTTGGAAACAAGAGGGTTCGGATGGTTCAGAAGTTTATTATGGAAGGATAGGTATCTGGATTGAGCTAAATAGGAAACATATGGTTCATTAAGGTCGTTATGGATGATTTTGTTTGTGACAAAGTAGGGAGCATTGAGGATTTTACGAAGGATTTTGGAATGTAGGGATGAATGTAAATTAAATCCATTCTTTAGTAATGCACTGTATTTATTTATTTCCATGTTATTTATATGATTTTGAAGCTGTAAACTCACTAGCCAATTTTTAAGGGTTAAATATTATACCATGTTAATTAGGAAATAATAGGTGTTTTTAGAAACTCTTGAATGTTGATAATAAGGAATATTTTTATAATTTAGTTTGTTATATTTTTATAAATGTCCATGTTCTTTGCAGTATCTAATATTCAGAAACAATATTGAAGGAGTAACAAAATTCATTTATTCAATAGAAATAAAAAAAATAACTAGTTGGCCCATGCCAATAATTCACAGAAAATTTTGTTTAGTGAATAAATAGCAAAACAATATGGAAATAAGTAGATCCTATGTATTGTGCAAGAAAGGAATTAATATGTTTTCCTTGACTGATTACAATATTCCATTTAACATAATAGACCAAAATATTTGTACGAATTGCTTTGCTAGGACCAATTTTTAAACACTGACTGGAAAGATAATAAAGGTAATGGAGACAAAATAATGGTATTTTCTAAATTATTAAACAAAATAAAATGTAAGAACAAACAAATGCCTTTAAGAAATAATAAAATTAATATATCAGCCAGGAAAAAAATTGTAGTAGCCTATTCTACTCCTAAATGCAATATCTTTAAAGAGGAAGATATTATTAAATATTCCAAAACTATCGGACTGTATCTTTGATAATAATTATCCAATTTTTTTTTTAGGTAATTTGGTAATCTTTTTAATTATCATGGGTACAATCGAGAAACAAAATGCATACTGTTTTAGTTATTTGCAAATAATGTTTCTTTTCTATCATAACTTTTTTTTCAGAAATTTCAAGGAAATAGGACTATTTTTCGCATGTGAAGGAGAAGAATATCTTCAAAATGAATGGTCAATCATTGGATTTGATGAAGAATTGAGGAAGTTATGGCATACAAACAAAAAAAAAAAAAAAAACCTTTTAGAAATAATATACAGGATATCTTTTTGCAATAGCTTTATTGTTGCTGACAAAATTATTATTATTTTTTTACAGTTAACTTTTGGTTTATTTTTATTTTATTTATTGTATGCTGACCATCTATAGCTGATCTCCAAAAAACAATACATATTATTTCCCCCAAATAATAATTTTAATATTTGATAATTTTATGCTGCCAATACTGAAAGTCCCTTTGAAATGGAATGAAATCTAAGATGGCTTTAAAAATTATGGCAAGTATTTTTTAGGAACTGAAACCATAGCAGTTAAAACAAGGTTTTATATCTAAACAAACACACCAACCACATTTTAGTTTAAGCATATTTTATTTCTTAAAATTATAAAAAAATGTACAACCAACAAAAGTGTTTTGGTTCAGAATATATGTCATTACATATCTGTTTGCATTACTAGCAAGTATCTTTAAAGCGTCAATGTTTTCATTTACATAAACATTTATTGATTATTTTTCAATTGATTCAGAAACAAAATATAAGCATTGCAACAATCTAATCAGGTTGATAAAAGTATAATATTTGAAAGGTTATATTCAAAGTTCAAATGATAAGTCCTTTCAGCAGTCTTTTTAAAATTTTCATTCTGTAACTGAAAAACAAAACAATTAGTATACAATTTAATAAATATATTTAGAGTTCAGTTAAATACAATATAAATGTTCAAGTAAAATTTTGATTGATGACATATATTAAAAAAAAAAGTAAAATAAAAATCATGAAAATATTTACCTCAGGCACAAGTAGCTAAATCTACAACCAATTTTTTGTATTTTTCAAATGATGGAAGAACGTCAGCAATGGCTGATAATCCTGTCGCATGGTTCTGTAAATAAAATTTATTCATTAAAAAAAAAATTAACTTATAATTTGTCAAATTGTAACCAACTTTACATCTGAACTTTATTAAATTCTAAAATTAATACCAGAAAATTAATATTGATTCAATATTTCTTGAATGAAAACAGGAGGATATTGAGAGAATTAGATACAAGAATTAAAATTAGCTACCTGGCAAGTGATGAGAAAAAAACATTTGATATAATAAACCAAAATGTAAAATTTTGAGTGGAATTTTAGGAACCACTCCTGAAAGAAAAGTGGTTTAAATATGTTAGTGATTTTAAATAAATACTTTGTCTCAGCTATAAATGACCAACAGAAGGTTGGTATATAAAGCGTGGTAGACTACTGATTATATGTAAATAAAATATTCCTTACTGAAAACATAACATTGGGTTCTTTATTGAAGTCACCAAAGAGCCTGAAGAGGTCAGGATGTTCACTGTACAAATTTGCTGCTGCGAGAAGTGAAGATCTTGCTTCATCGATCTGTACCTCGCTCAAGTCTTTACATGTCATAACCTAAATAAAAAAGTAAATAATTAAAAAATTTAATTGTTAATTTTTTTTATTCCAAAATAATTACCTAAATAACCAAAACAGTTTAGTCCCTTTTTCTCCTCTGTTTCTCAACCAATTTTTTTTTTTTTTTTTTTGTGGTTATTGATGAGCTTCACTGTTATCAATACAAAAAACTTGGAAAGATTGTATATACATAAAAATGTAAATTTTAATTTATTCAGACTAATCTATGAATTTCTTAGAAATTTTTATTCAATGTTGCAAACAAATTCAGGAGCATTTTTATATACATTTATACACATTTTCAGTTTATCAGATAGCCAGGTACCCCACCCCTATCCATCTTGATTTTATCATCCTAGGTCTTTCTCATTCCTTTCTACTCAAACCATATTATGAAAATATTTAGCATCATCGTCTTCTTATATCTTCAACCTATCTCAATACATTTCATTTCAATTTAGTGAAACTAGGCATCCTTTGTAAGTATCAACAACAGGGTAATTAGTACAATGATAAGATAGTTAAACATATTTAAGTGTTGACTTTAAAATGTATAATAAAAAAAATTGATTGCTACAAAATATTAAAAAGCTATAAAAAGAAGCCTATTTTTGCTTAATTATTAGTACAATGAAAAAATGCTTTCCAAAAAATTGAAAAGAATATTTGAGTATATTTACCATTTTTGGAGGAATGGTTGCAACGCCACAACCAGCTTTATCGACAGGAGCTCTTCCACCAGAGGAACAGATTAGTTCAACATCTGAATCTATAAAAGAAAAAGTAATTGTATAACAGTATTTCATAATAATAAAACACTTTAGCTAAAAGAAATATAGGGTATCCAAAAAGATTGAATGCAATTTGTTCTTTGAATGGTCAAATCCGAGCTTATTACAAAAAATTGTTTTCCGTTCAATTGAACCAGTAAAGCAAAAATTCCCCATTAAGCTTATTTTACCCAGATGTAAGATTACCCGGTCACCATCAGGTCCAGAGGAAGATCAGTCGGGGTGGCAATCCCGGAGCCTGGTCTCCGAAGTTATTTATTCAAATAAAGTATAGATAATATAACATATATTGTATAATATCTATACAATATATTTAGATAATATTTTTGTTGCAAAATTTCTAAAAGGCTGAGTTTTATTGGTAAATTTAATATTTGAGGAGGTCTGGGAAAATAACCTCTGGGTTCCTTGGTTTTTCTCCACGGCCCTGGTCACCATGCAATCTTAACTTGAGTACTAAGGGCTATTTCTTGTAAGAATCCATTAAAGAGAAGGAGGATGATAATAACCTGAAGACAAGTACTTAATTTAAAGAAAATTCTGCATCACTATTTTAATTATTGGATATCTTCTCTTTAGATTAGAAGAATGTCATGAATGCAATGGGATATATTTAGACAATATTATTTTTAGTAACTGATTTTTTATAATGGCTGCATTGTTTAAATAAATAAACTACCTTCAATGGAGATTTTCATTTATATAAATTTTAAATATTACTCACTATTTTTGGACACTGTATAATAATCAAATCGTTTATACCTTTTCCATGAAGTGCTGATAGTGGAACAAAGGCAACATCCCCTTTACCAGATACAAGACATTTCACAGGATCAGCTGATGCTGTAATATATATATAATTTCAATGTTAGTTTGATAATAAAAATACTTTTTAAAATAAAATTTCAAATTAAGAAATATTTAATTTGTGTGTTACTCACGGACAATTGCTGAGAAGAATTCAGTCAATGACTTTTCATGTGGACAGTGATGTTTACCGATCATCTTATTGTTCAACAAATATTTCAAGACTCCAAAGAAACCTTTAAAAAATTAAAAAATAATTATTAGATAGTTTCCAGACAGTTTAATATTTCTAATTATTGAGGTTCCGGCATACATAATAAATATTTATTTTACATCTTGTGTAATGAGTAAAAATAGTTATTCTTATAATATTATGCTGCATTATACTGTACATTTAAGTATGGTGTACATGAATACTGTACATGAATATGGTGCTAGAGACCAAAAGCTATTCATTATATGAGATGTAAAGTAAATATTTATTACTAGACTCATATTTTATAGAATCTGAATAATTATTTATTAATAAAAAAAAATAGTTTTCGAGAATACCAAATTTTATAAATAACATAGAATTTGGCTTACCAGCATTGCCATTTGGTTCTAAACAAACTTTCTTTCCCTTAAGATCTTGGATTGATCCCATTGGAGTACCCTTCTTTACTACAGCTACAAGCTCTTGTTCATCTTGTTTATTGTATTGCTCATTCAATAATGGCTTAAGGTTATGGTTCCTTTATTAAGAATAGTAAACAATTAATAAAAAATTAAGTTATTTTATTGTAAAACAATAAAAAAAAACATGAAATACTTACTTCTCAGCATCAATGGCTACGTGTGGGTCAAGAACAACTAATTCTGCTCCTTTATTTTCAACTGAGGTGATGCAATTGGCCGATTGAATGCATGATAAACTTGGACGAATATCTCTTGAATAAGCTGCGGCTTTAAGTGCTTCACATTTGGCCATTTCAGTATCACTCTTCACACAAATCCTTACTACCCTTCTTGGTTCAAGAACATCACGTTCAATAACATCCTTATATTTAGCTGTAAAATAATAAAGATTCATTATTATTATTTTTTATATTTGACCTAGAATACATTCATATCATTGTATAAGTTACATAACATTATTTTAAAATGCATCTACCTTTAAGCAAATAATCAAGGGGCGATACTTCATTGTTATCAACAGCAAGAGTTTTATTGTTCATTGTGAGAACAGTAGCGATCCAATCGGCATGTGTTGATTCTCCAAGGTTGTTAAGTTTTGCGATTTCCTCTCTCAGTTCTTTCAATTCACCACTGTAAAGAATATGGGTAATAGGGTATTTATGTTATGATTATAGTGGGTTACAATGTTTTTGAAATGATCAATTCTATAGTCATTATTTATATTTAAAGTTACCTATAGATTTTTCAAAACAAATTGTAACCAAAACCGTGAAATTTCAACATTGGTTGTTTTGTATTTAACCATAGAATTAACTAAAACAAATTTTTTATTTTTATTTTCTAGTTGTGTTAGAAAGATGAAAAAATTATTCCATAACATTGATATAGGTTCCATTTCAAATTTATAAATTTAATTAATTCGTGATTAACAATCTTATTATTAATATCTACCTCTTATACCTTAGTGTATTAAGGTATGAAAATATGAAGAAGTGAATTTTTTTATTAAAAACCCTCTCTTATGGGTGGGTAATCTTTGAAAAATTTTATATATATGTTTTTTTAACCATATTCGCAAAACAACTTCTTCACAGCTGACTTGAAAACAAAACCCTTTAAAGCTAAAATGATACAAAATACAACTGTCACTAATGGGAGTTGAAAAACTTTATCCCCACCACATACAAACTTCTAAAATATGAACGGATTGAGGACATAGAATATCCTTTGAGGAACACAGTGTCCTTCTAGCAAGAACATTCTTACCGAGAGTGTTAATTTCTATTTTATAATGTAATATATTATATAATACTTATTATATTATTTATATAATGTGATTCATATGAAGTAGGTAATAAACTTACACAGCATGAGTTGAAGCCATGAAGCCAGGCCATGGCCGAGCAGCCCATGTGCAAGGTGGACCAGTGATGGGTCGTTTTGATGCATCGGGGCAGAGGAAAGCATAGTCGTTAGCGTTATATTCAGACTGTTTGGCTGGCTGAGTTCCATAAGGCATCTAATTAATAATAATATATTAGTTAGAAGCTTTACTTTTAGCAAAGGACAATCCTCATACTTATAGAACAGAATATAAAATAAAAGTTAGTCGTAAATAAGTTATGATTATATAAAGTTATAAACAAAAATAAATAATGACAGATCTTGAAATCAACGAGATAATTTATACAAAAAAACAAAAAGAGTTAAGTAACCGTTCAACAGAAAGTGCTAAATTCTCTATAAAAATGATTCTTTTGTAAAAATGAATGTCTTGTAAATAACATCCTCTGATTCTATGTCTAATTAATGTCATACCTTATTGCCAATTTATATTATTATATAATTATAGTTATTGTTATTGCCAATTTGTAACCATTATAAAGAAAAAATAATTCTAGGAATAAGAAGTATGGTGTGTTTATTACGGTCCGTCATGCTTTGTATATGTAAAATAAAATATCGGTCACTAAAAAATTTAAAGGGAGACTATTGTTCTTTTTTTTTTAATAAATAAAAACCATAATTTTCAAAAGCTTATTAAAATATCAAAGCATACTCACTCCAAAGAACTTCTTGACGTAGATGACTTTAGTCCAAGCGACTTGGCCTCCAGCTTTAGCGAGGCACCTCAGAGCTCCTTCGTAGCCAGAGTTGATATCAGGGTAGTCACATTTTTCTGGGTTTTCACAGAGTTCACAAAGGTTGGCATAAGTTGACTCTGAAAATTACAAAATAAAAATAAAATTAATCATGAATATCAAACCAATGAAATTGAGAACTAATTAATATATGACATACATTTTTATAATAAATTCATGTACACTAAAATAAATATATACTAACATATAATATGTGCGAGTAATATTTATAGGAATGATCTACATAGAAACAAGATAAAAAAAATTAATGTTGATCAGTAAAAGATTTAAAAAATAAAATAATCAATGCTAACTGTTAATGTTAAATACAAGATACAGATATATTGGTAGAAAGTAAAAAAATGACAAAGAACAAATTAAATGAGCATAAACAGAGTAAAATAAAATGAAGTCACAGAAGTACATTTTAAGATTAGCATAAACGCAATATATGTTGTGTTTATATTCATTTAATTTGCTACCTGTTATATTTTAACCTCCTAAAATAGATCTGTTCCTTGTTTCAGTATTTTTCAGCAACATAACATTAATTATTATTTTATTTTTTGTACCTTGTACAATTAACAATAACTTTTTTATCTCTTGTATTTTTTTCTTGATGTAGCCTATAACTTAGATATTAATGTAGACATCCAATAAACATTTCCCCCATGTTAGCTATTGAATGTACCTTCTATCTAACTTGTTAAATTAGAACTATCCTCAAATATTCCATACCAATATAAAAATATTTATTTATGTTATATAAGTTAAACAACGTTTTGGGTCTTTATCTTATTTTCCAGAGGTAATAAAACTAATAGCATAAAGAATTTTAATGAGACAATATTTTATTAATTTATTAAGTTAGTAAACTTACTTAGCCTAGCATTAGTCTCAGGATGTGGTGACCATTGTCCAACTAAGCAGGCTCGGCTGAAAAATGTTGACAAAGCTTTAAGTTCATTCTCTCTTGGTGATAAAGAAGTATCGCTCAATGGTCCCAATACTCCCATTTTAGTCAACTGTTAAATAATTTTCAATGTAAAATTATATTAAATATGATAATTATTTATATTTATTAAAAAGAGATATTACTTAATACAGAAACCATAATAATATTGAAAATATTTAGATTCATTTCTTACTTTTGTAATAGGGATTTTATATCCAACATTCCTTCCAACTCCTGTGTGGCAAGAGGTGAGACCTTTAAGGCCATGGATACTGTTGATTTCCAAGTCTTTATGGATAACTGCTACTGCTTCATAACGGAACTCAGCTGGAATCAAAAAGGAAATATTATAATCATTACTAACATAACATACTAACATAATAATACATCTTTGTATATCCAATAATATCCATGCATATTGTTACTAATGTATACCATACATTAGAATGGAAAAGAATTATTTTTTTTACTTAGACAAGAAATTTTGTGAGATATTTAGTTAACATCTATCCTATTAAGTATTCTCTAGGAGAGATTACAATTTTTTTCAAAACAGTTACATTTTACTGTTTGAAGGAACTTTTTGATTTTTTTTTAAAAATAAAAGTACTTATAAAATTTTAATAATAATTTTCGGGGTTTATTGTGAAAGTTCAGCTATTATTACTTATGATAAAAAGATGTTTACTTAATTATTAAATTTAATCAATGATAGTGAGGTTAAAAAAGGATACAATAATTAATGGATTTGAAATAAAATATTATTTTTACCACAAAAAAGTTATTTTAATTAAAATATAATTAAATAAAAATAAAAATTTAAAAAATGATTTGATAAATGTAATTAAAAAAAAGGTGCTTTTTAGTGGGGTAAATGGATAGCAAAGAAAAGTTTAAAAAAATTAAAACCAAATAGATTTTATATTAACTTAAAAAAAAATTATTATCATTAACTGGTACTGGCAATTAGCAATCTATTCTAATCTATTGCATATATATTTAAAGATATTTTTGATTGTTGTTTTTTATTTATTTTATTTATTTATTGTTACATTCCGCATCTACCCTAGTGGGTCATTAGTAGCTTTAGTTGTAATCAAATTAGGTGTACAAATTTAATGTCTTTTATAAATTCAAATACTTTTTGTATCTTTTCTTCGTCATCTGAAAGTGCATCAGATATGTTGGGAGGTATATTATGTTTTGTTCTGATGTCAGAATATAGTCTGCAAGTTGTTACAATGTGTTTCAGTGTAAGTGATGTGTTGCATTGTTGATTGTTGTTTTTAATTCCGAATATTTTAAAATGGCTAATAAGTGCTGAAATGATATGTAATACATCAAATATAAACATTTTTTCTTATTAACCATATTTTTTATTGGTGAATGTATTAGTGGGAATATTGTTATCTACATAGATTAGTAAATGGGCTTAGATTACGCATATGATGACTGCCTCATTCTTATATTTCAGAGTTATAGAATTTACTATACATTATCATTTGTTGATATAGTTTTTAGTGTGATTATTGAAAAGTTCCAAAAAAAACTTTTAGTTCCAAAAGAAAAATAAGTCATATTGGATTTGATTGAAAATAAAAGTAAATTTTTCATTTCAATCCCTGCTCTATAGCATTGCTCTCTTTATATTTTGGTTTAATATCAAAAGAGTTTGTTTGATCAAAGCAAAAATCATGGCTACTAGTTGTTTTAATATTTAAAAAATTACTTCTTGTATCAATCTGATATGAAATATACTTTTTTTTTTGTTAAAGAAAAAAGAGAGTAAATCATTCACATTTTATATATTTAAGCTCTATAAATCAATATAAAATTTCTGAATATATTTGCAATATGTACTAATCTTTGTCAATAATGGAACAAATATAAGATACACACTTTTCAAGGAAGTTAAGAACAGAAATTGTAAATTAAATTTACCTTGAGGTTCTTCTTTTGTTCTTATTTCCTTGAAGACCGTGAAGTCCTTGTCAGACATCTGAGCAGCTATGTACATGTCTTCTGGTTCAAGGGCTTCGAAATCAGCCTCATGAGCTTTTACCTTTGAAATGCATTCGACCCTAGAATAATTCAAGGATGATATTAGAATAAAATAGTTATATTATTTATATAATATATAACTCTAACATACTGGATTAGATTATTTCAAAATTTTATAAATGCTAGATAAATATTAATTAGTTACTTTTGAAATATAATTAAAACTTGTTTAACTGGTGGAGGAAACAAATTTTCTACTTGCACTTAACCATATATGTAATATGCAATATAGTAAGTGAAATTTTCAAATCTGATTTTTCAACAAAAACTATTATGGTTCTTTTAACACAAATAACAAGTTCCAAAAAAGGTTCGGTATGTGTAAACAGTCCAGCTCGAAAATGAACAGTTGTACAAAATTGATTTTAAGAAGGTTGATATGTGCCTGAGATGTTACAGCACCTTTTTTGTCAAAATTGAATAAAGGGAGTATCACTCAATATAATCGAAATATTTGCGATTTTCATTAAACTCGTTATATTAATTATAAATTGTAAAATCAAATGAGCTTTAATATCAGTGACGTATTCTAATTGAAATAGTCGGACATAGGTTAAATTTCGTATTTTTAAAATGTTTTTCTTTAAAGTACTTTTAATTTGGTTTATTTTAAATAATCAACTATCTCAAATTGTTAACAGCACTAAAACTGGGTCTATATAAGCTATGTTTAGAAATTTTTTTTCCACGTTGAAAACGAAATTTGTATAATATATCGTTGGAAAGTTGAAGAGTTTATAAATATTACATTTAAGATATAAAATCGTAGATAGAGAGACGGAAGAAAAAAAATATCAATAATAATTTGAAAACTAATATTACTGAATTGAATGTTTGTATGGAAACTAAATGGAATTTCTAAATTAAATTGCGAATTTTACAATTATTATTAAACTTGAAAAAACCAAAAATATATAATAATACATTTAATTGTTGTTTATTATTAGGATTGTTTAAAAACTATCGTATCTTCATAAAAAAAGGCGTGAAGAATTGCATGGCTTTGGAAATATTTCAAGCTATATTTATGGATTGGAAAAACATATGGTAATAATTATAATTTTCAATAAATTTAGCTCCGATAATATATTTAAATAATTAAATATTATCTATCCTAATTTATTTATTATTTAATTTGGTTGGTAAGTGAAAGTTGTGTGATCCACTTTTAAAACCTGAGAGTACATATACATATTTCATTTTTTTTTTTTTAATTTGCCATAAATTTACTGTTGATTAAAAAACAATTTAAATAATCATTGAAAAATATTCATTCTACGTTGCAGAACAAAAATAAAATAAAATGGAAGGTTTATCACAACGATGTAACAATTGAAATTATGACATTTAAATAAACGTTATTTTTTCTTACATTTCAATCATTACTTAATAATACAAATTTAAATAATTAAAAATAATTAGTGTAAACCACATTCGCAGATTTCATGAAAGCAAACAAGATTGGCTTTGAGGGCATCAACCTTTGCAGTTTTGCCAACCGGTTTGGCACAAGAGAAAAATCTAGCGCATCAAGCAGTTCCTAAACTCATCACTAAATCCATAAATAGAAATAATTCCAATTACATCGATGAAGTTATTAGCGCTGATTTATGGATGAATTTATGAGTTATGAATAACAACAGAAAATATAGCATAATGAAAATTTCACGTCTTTTGTAACCTACCAGGAGTGTTAAACTTCCGCTAGAATCAATTGAATCGTTCCTAAACTCAGCTCAAATTTTTGTCCATCGTTGCTATATATAATCGAATAGTGGAATCCATCGATGAAATCAGTGTTGAGTTTAGGATGTTAGTATAATAGTTTCCTTTGTTCAGGTTATCTTTGTTTTGCTTCTATGACATGTTAGCATAATATTTTCTTTTCCTTTATGAATCCTTTTGTCGCTTTTGTCGCAGCAGAATCTTCTCTGTCAAATTTTATTAAAATTAACTTGGTGGGATATTTTCTCAACAATGTTTTGATTTTTTTTAAATAATTGTTTTGAAGCTAGAGAACCCATCCCCAGGATGGTTTTAATCACTTGGATAATACAAAACATATTTATTTATTAATACACTTCCTTTATGGTAAAAACTATGGGAAACAGATTACACCGAACAATAACCGCATACATTGATAATATACACAGTAATCACTAGATTTTTGTACTGTAAAGACGTTTGAAACTTGTTATAGAAAACATACAAAAATGTTCAAAGCAGAACTCAGAACGTGCAATAAGTCTTAGTATAGGACAACAACTTAATACTTTTTACTAATACGTTACTATTAAACAATGCACTGATTAAAATGTTTCCTAAATTGGTAGGAAATTCGTGTGAATGGACGCGTCAGACATTCAGATTAGAGTATAGCACTTTAAGTCCATGCTAAATTCGGATAATATATGCTTTTTTCACACGCATATTGATTATATGTTTATGTGTATCTGATTCACACAATCCGAAATTAATAAAAAAAAAAAATACAATAAAACCAATCACTAAAAAAAAATTGACTCAAAGTGTCTTCATTTTGATTTTATACTAGCAAGTTATGTTTAAAACTATTAGGTGAACATTTATTTAATCATGGGGATGGCCATCGATAGTCGATATTATCGAAATATCGATATTTTCTTTCCGATATTCGATATTTTATCATCGATAGCATCTACTTCGATGTTATTAACAATCGATATTTTAATATATTAATTTTTAAAAAAATCAAAACTATCGTTTACGCAAACCGCTTGGAATTATATATGAATCTGATGGTTAAAAAAAAATACTCATCTTGCCTGTTTCATATAGAATGTATTACTTAGTAGAGAAAAACATCAATATTTCGATAATATCAACTATCGATGGGCATTCCTAAGTAGAGTTGAATAACACGCTTGGGATCCTTCTCAATCAGTAAACTCAATTTGCCCAAATTTGTTAGTTAGAACCTTCTCAGACCTAGGCCATGAACTGTCAAAAAAAATCTATGTAGCATGCAAAGAAATTATAATTTCGCTGAATCCAATCTATGGAAGGATGGAAGGCATAATTGGTTGATTGGAAAAAAGCTGACGATGAGAAAGATGGGGAGGTACTAGAAAATTAATTATATTAAGGAGGGGGCTAGGATCCATGATTTAATGTTTGTGGGGGGCCTCAGCCCGAAAGCATTTTTTTCATAAAAATAACGATAATTACTTTGAAAAAAAGTATAGGAACTAACTAACTATATGGAATGGTGTATAAGTGATTCCTAAAGTCCTTTTAAATGTAATTAACAATAATACTTTAAGAGATAATTTTTTAATATTTTTTTCCATAAAACATGGTTATATTTTACCATTTTGGGGGGAGGGCATCATCCCCCAAAACCTCCCCCCCCACCGTAGATCCGCCCGTGAAGGAAAGTAAAAGAGTTGATATTTCTTTGAATTAATTTAACGAGGAACATAATATATATTTTTTGGTACACTAATGTGCTAGAGAATCAATGTTTATATTCATATTTAAATTTTTTTTTGATATTTCAAGTCTGCTAATTTGATGGTATCCATAGTTATAGACCAATATTAATATCGATGTTGAGCCTTCGGTATGAGATACCTGTTTCAGCATAAACTATGACGTTAGTTTCTTGGGAATATGTAAACGGGTTTTCTTCGCAGTCATGATCCAGATAAGGAAACGTATAGTTGTCCTTGAGTAAAAATAAAAAGTCTCGTCGTTTATTTAATAATCAGTGCCAACGATATTTACGTGAAACTACGTAGTTGTCCCTTGTAAATAAATAAATAAATAATTGATTAAAATTAATAAGATATTCGCGTTTCACAAAAAAAAAAAAATTTATATTTGTTTATTTAGAAATATTACATCCTGTCACTATCAAGGACATTTATAATAGTGTTCAGAGAACACACTCACACTCTATTTACAAATAAATAATACAGAAACTAATAATAATAAAAATAAATGTAAAGCGGAAGTGTGTGTCAGGTCATGGCACAACTGAACATTAATCGTACATTTATTTAGTACAAAAATTTAAATTTAAAAAAAATTAACAAAAATGTCAGACAAATGCGAAGTGAAAGTGAAAATCATTGACGCTATATTTATTTACAATTCATTGTGGGTATTTTTATTTGTTTAAATACCTTTATATATACAAATACCTTTATATACACGTTGTTTTATACCAGTATTGATCGTAATTCATGCCTACACTTACGACTATTGTTAATTAAGATTTGAGTTTTTGAATTTTATTATCATTAGAAAGTTATTTTTTTTTTTAAATGTAAATTATAATTTGGGTTGATGGTTGACTGTAGTGAATAATTGAAGAAAAGGAAGTTTGGGATGTTCAGTCAAAATAAATAAATAATTGTATTTATTTTCACATTCACCTAAATTGAAAATAAATTCAATTATTTATTTATTTTTACTATTTTATTTCATCCTTCTTGTAAATTATAATTAACAATGAAGAAAATATTTTACCTGTCCCGGGCTGGAACGCATTCTAGGTTCACTCCAATTGTTTTTGCCTGCTCCACCATCTTGTGGCATGCTTTCACTGCCACTTGAGGCACGCATATTTTGTCTGAAAAAAATAGATACATGTTAGAAACTATTAAATTTAAAATAACACATCAGTGATAAGATTAAATGTGGAAAAAATATTTATTTAAATAAATCTTCTACCATTTGAAGACCATTATCATACTACATTTCGGTCGAAAATATAATGTAAAATAATTGCACGGATGCAAAGTACGCATACAATGTGCATAGTCCTTTTACCTTACAATGCCCTTGGGCAATAAAAGGAAATTAGAAAATTTTGTATATATATTTCTTATGTATTTATATATTGTATTTTGTATAGTAAATAATACCTGGGGGTAGGAAAAAAAAATAATTGCAAAACTCTATGTAAAAATAATTTAATATCTAACAAGACGTAGAAGGTTTAAATGAATAATAAACAAAAATGAATAATATTTTCTATTATCTCGTACATATTATTTTTATTCTATTATTTTTTTTTTTTTTTATGGCTTCTGTTTTTGTAGAAGTGGCAAAACAGTGAAAACGCGAAACCTGTTCAACATTCTACCGCACCATGCCTACAGACTTCATACTGTCACAATCCACACTCCACCATTGACTGTCGATTTCCCGGACATGAACGGTATTATATATAATTTCCAAATTATATATATATAAACATTGAACAATACAATATAGAATTCATCTCTGCAAATTTAAAAATATGTATATACATTTTCTAGAGTCTTAGAAGTTTTATTTATTTCTAAAGTTTTTTTTTTTGCGCCACTCTATACTTCAAAGAATAATATTCATTTTTGAAATACAGTAATTTTATATACATTCAAGACAAATATATAAATAATTATTTTTTGTATTCACAATCAATCATCTAATATATGGAAACAGTAGAAAAAAAATTGAAATTCAGTGGTGTAATTTTATTTTAATAAATCTAACAAAAACTGAATTAGAAAAAATCGACATCAAATTGGATGGATTAATTTTCAGCTGAAATCTATTAATTCTGTTATCTATAGCAGAAATTCTTATTCGGTTTATCTGGCTGTTGTCCGTAACACATTTCAAACTTCTTCAAGCAAATTATATTACCTCTAAAATGAATTATTGATAAGAGCAAATGCCTTTGGAGTTGTCATTATTGAAATCAGCGCCATCTCATGAATGTTCTATGGTCCTGATAAATTTTATTGGAAGAATGAAACCGTGTGTCTCGAATGACTTCCAACATTAACATTAAAATAGGAGTAATGGCAAGAATATGTGGTAACTATAACAGTGTTAAAAATAAAAGAAATAACTAAAAAAACAGCCTCGAGTTTTTAAGGGGCGTTTTAAGAATTTGAGATGATAAATAGAAAAACAGGAATTACTGAAAACATAGTATTTTTGTTAAATGTGAAGTTTTAAAATTGTTATTAAATAAATAACTTATATTGAAAAAACAGTTCGTTTTATTTGGCCATATGACGGAAAAAAATTGGGGAAAATTATATAAATGGTCTAGTATGAATTTCTTCAAATTATTTTCAACAATTAAATTTAGTGTATCAAATTTAAAGAATATATTGTCTATAAAATGTTGTAGGCAGTGAACAGGGAGGGAGGTTGAATTTATTCTTTATTTTATGAAGTTAAAAGTTCGCTCTTAGTTTGATGAAGTTGTACTTAACTATTTTTATTTATTTTTATATAAAATTAAATCAATGGTGTTTCTTAGTCTGCTTTAAGATTGAAGTACTTTTTTTATTTAAAATGTTATAGCTTAACTAACATCTTTGTCATTTTTATTTTTACTTGTTTTGTCTGTTACCATAGTAACCAAGGTTTAACTGTATTTCAAAATTTTTTGTATAAAATCAGAGGTAAATTATTGCTTATTAAATATCTTCGAAAGTTAAATTACTCTTAACCAATGTAAATGCTATAGAAGCCATTTTGACCATTCTTGACAGGCATTTTTATACAACAAATGAAGTTTTACCGTATCATTAAATGAAGAAAAAAATCAAAACGAAGTAAAATAGTTGTTTCTTGACTTGAAGTTAAAATGTTTCTACGAAGAAGTTATAAAAAGACACCATATATTGATTGCCATTGAAAAATATTACTGTAGTTGCTAAATATACTCATAAAAAGAAGTTTTGATAAATAAAAAACATCATTAAATTGACATTTCATTTTTTTTTTCTAACGAATTAGTCAACGATACAGACCCCCTCCCCCCTTTTTTTATTAAGCTACTAACATCTGTCTAAAAATTCGTGAATGCTTCATCTTATTTAACCTAAGACTTTTTTATTTACGAAAATTCTGAAAAATGGTGCATTTTCTGATTAATATTGGGCCATTTGGACTCTATAACCTCATTATTGTGGAAGTCCGAACAGCCCGATACTCTTGTAACCTAACTTTTTTCTCGAATTAAATATACAAATTTTACTTATCTGCAGATTGAAAACGGACAGGGGGTGGGGTGGCCGAATAGGCTAAAGCGTGTGTAACAGCACCGCTAGTTGCCTGGCAACCGGATAACAGAGATTTGAGATGATATAAAAAGTACGAGTTCGCGTCCCGGTGCCGGAGGGGATTTTAAATTCCCCGCCCTCACCCTCCGCCCCGGGAAAATCCCGTATCCCTAAAAGGCGAGGTAGGAAAGAACAAAAAAAAAAAAAAATTGAAAACGGACTATTTCCTAGGATGTTCGTAAATAGAAAAATTGTTGATTACTATAAAACGAAGCCGTTCACGGGGTCTGTACTGCGAAATATTTATTTTGCAATATATTATATATTGAACCTGATAAGAAGCCCTTGATGGTATCTCCTGATGGGATCAGCGAACTGCGAAATCCGCCAACTGAGCGAAGCCAACGACATGATCTGCCGCCCACATTTTGTTCCATCGAAAGCGAACTCATAAGGCTTCGTAGCTCTTTGGCCCCGTTAAGATCTCTTACATAATTCTCATCATATCCGGAATCTCTTTGTTCATCAGGCTCATTGTTTTGTCACCTTTGAGGTAGATAAAGATTAGCGGTTTCTATTGATGTCCCCTCTACAGGCATGACGGGCTGTGAGCTTTAGGATGCTCAATGAGGATGTTTAATAGCTCCCTAAGATTGCAAATAAATCGAACTGAACAATGAGTTACTTCTAAAACAAAAACATAAATTACCTAGAAGTTCTGTAAACTGTAGACTAACTTCGATAATCTTCTCTTCTTTGGATTTTTTCTCTTGATATCTTTTCCACCTCTCCCATAAAGAGTCATTCGAATTTAACTATTGGAATATAACTATGGAATGTATTTATATTCTGCCATATACTTTATGATAATAATAAGGTTTCTATATTTTTTTTCAATTTAAAAAAAAATAATAAGAAATCACATATAAAATTATTTTTTTTAAGTATAGAATTTTTCAGCTCATTCTTAAGTGCCTTGCATTCATTATCATACCAAATTTATTCCCATAAATACCCAGTTTATTAAATTCTGTTTTACATTTCATCCCCACATATATTATTACTGTAAAGCCCGAAATCGGTTTTGTAAGAAATATAAGCTCTTGTCATCCTCAAATACCATTAATGGGGTACCGTTGGATTCAGAATTTCACGGGGAGTTAGCGAATCGTATTTTCCAATTTTTTTTTTTTTTTGTTTAATAAATAAAGTCGATACAAACATTATTTATTTCACATATTAATTATTAATACCAAAAATACAATTCCAAAATCATGACCTCGGTCGAGACAGCTAAAGTCTCAGAAAGTGATACGTCCAATGCAGGCTATGTATGATGCCAATGGGAGTATTTTTTTTTTTTTTTTTTATATTCAGTTTTATAAAATCCTCAGTGCTCCTTACTTTGTTACAAATAAAATTATTCATAATGACTTTAATGTTCCTTATGTGTCAGATTTGGCCCAATCCAGATATCTGTCCTTCCATAATAAACTTCATAAGCATCCCAACCCTCTTGTCTCTAACTTTGCTTCCTATTCGATTCCTGATAACCCTCCGAGGCGTCTGAAAAGAAGATGGCCACGTGATCTTCTAATATAGACATATTATTAGAGTGCTACCAATGGGTAGTTTCTCAACAAGTGTTCCATGTCTTTATACCAATGTGCGAATTTACCAGGTGTATTTTTTGTATACAGTTGTAAATATCATATAAATAAATTTAAAAAAAATATTCAGTTTTGAACTCTCCAACTAGAAATTTAGTTTAGAGATATTTAATTGTCAATTAGTAATATTGTTGAAAACTTTGATTTTACAGATAGTTCAGGAACGGTTGAGTTGCCTTCTGATTTTTAACTGTATGTTTAGTATTGGCGAAAGATAGATACCTTTATATTATTTAAATTATAATTTTATTTAGAGCATGTGACAACGGTCGTAGCAATTAGTTGGCTGGCAAGCACTTGTTCGTCCTGATGAAGATATCTAGCCGCTAGAATACAAAATGGCGGCCATGTGAAGACAGAAGAGACCTTACATAGGCTGCATGCGTATACGTAGAGAGAGCTTAGAGATATATAAAACTACCAACACTTTCAATTTATAGTATATACAGTCTTAAGACCTCAAATAAAAGTCAGTTACCCCATACTCGTAGATTTCAAGTCAAAAAATTGAATGGCTTCAATAATGGGACGGTGGTACGTCTGTAGATCGATACGGAAAAATTGGACCTTGAAGATTTTGACCCGTTTTTCTCGAATCCTGCGTTTTTAAGCACAAAAACGTACTATTTTCGGTAATACGCAAGGCATAGGGTTCGCATCCATACAACCTTATGTTAATTGTAGTACTGTTATTGAATACATGTCTCATTTCGTCTACTTCAGGGCTCTATGATCGATGAGGAGGAGTTTATATTATTTATCGATGATGTTTTTGATCGGCAAGCGATATCATCGTTAATTCTTCACCAAATCTCAAAATTGAGCTACCAATTTTGAAGGCTTCCTTCTCCTTCTGCCGAGCAAAACAGTCCAATCACCCCGAAAATTCAGTC